GAATTATTTGTCTTTGTTCCTATATGCATAAGTCCGGCGAGGTTCTTGGAGATGATTGATTATGCAAGGTGAAGGATTAAGTGATCCGCCTTATCTAGGACAATTTACTTCATGTTTTTTTTTATTTTCTGATAATCATAGTTCTAACTGTGTCGCGCGAGTAAAATTTGAATTGTTACTGTGTTGGGACAGGCACAGAAAAACAGTGCTTGGAGACGCCAGACATGGATATTCATCATGACAAGACATTTCAATCGGTATAAAAAATTTTGACTTTTTGACCCTTTGACCTTGCATTTGAGAAATTCCAACCTTCGCAAACTTGTGACATGATATTTAGTCTCCTCCAAAGAAAAAAATTGTTTGTATAATCTGTATTTAATGTGGACTTTATATGCAACAAAAGTATATACAAAACGATATCGATTTTTATCTATTTTTCATCGTATGTATCTGTTTATCATCTAAATACAATGCACATGTCTTGGGAATTTTTATAAAGGGATGATGGATTTAGGGTTCTCGCTCTCTTACAAATTATGTCTATTAGTATATCTACTCTTTAATCGGAATCGCAAATACATTTAACTTTTAAAATTGGATTGAGATTTGCATGTTTTGAATTATTAACAACGCCATGCCGACCCAGTCAGAAGACTGAACACGCCTCTATTTCTGAAGAGTATCGTAATTGAAATCAAACATATTATTATAACATGAGCATCCAGAATTTCTGTACAGACATATTTAGCTATTGAAATAATAATAAAGTGTATCGTTGTGTATGTTCAAGTTGGGAATTTTTACAAATAACTTTTCCTTTTCACGCCATCAAACCATTAAACCCTATTTAGTTACTTTATGTCAATGATATTACATATTCAGAGTTATCAACGTAAAAAAAGCAAAACATATAAACTGTCAAAACAAAGTTATATTTTTAAAACATGGTTCTGATTAACAAAAAAAAAAAAAAAAAAAAAAATAGCGAAATCCTCCTACCATAGCAGGTGAAGTTTGTTTTCTGCCACTCAGATTGTAAGCATTTTATTGAGTTGTTTCCAGATTTTGGAAGAAAACCCTGACGACAAGAGTATAAAGCAACATTGTCAGAGACCATGACGTCAGCGTTAGCAATGATGGGAGGATCAGGACAAGATTCTGTATAGGATAAATGCATGTTATGATATTACTATAATTAGTTGATATATATACAATATATGAATTCAAGAACATGACTTACAGACTAGTTTTACATTTGTACCTTTCTAACTTTCAATACTTTAAAAATATGATTTGATGTATACTATTAATACCACATTTTGTAAAAGATATATTCATGACTTTTTGAAGACTGAACAAAGAGGAACAAAAACATCTATATTTATGAAATGCAATTAAAATACTTATTTCTTAAAGATCATGTATAAATATCTTGATCCTTACTTATACATTTAAAGTCAGTGGACGGCCAGGTACTGTTTATGCATTCAATGACGTCAACTGTATTTTTCATTGTGAAATATCCCGTTAAGCAGAAATATTTTGCTCTATTGTCCTGCACAAGAACTGCTGCATTTTCAACAGCGGGAGGTGGTGAGCAAACGACTTCATATTAAAAAACACAAATATATTAGAATTTGAATATCTTAATCCTGATGAAGATATTTTTTTCATTGATTGAAAATAGGTTTTGAACTATCGGTATTACATATTTTGTATATCATATCAACAATATACCTTTGCAGAACATTGATGTCATAGACCATGTGCCATCTACACAATTAGTTATTACGTCTTTGGAACTTTCAGTGAACCCAGTCTTACAAGAGTACAAAGCCTTGCTACCATTATTTACTCCATCATATAGTTTATATGCATTAACAATGTCAGGAGGGATCGGACAATCTAAAGTGTAGCATTGATACCATATTTTAAATTAAATCCTGTGAAAAATGGAGTCAAAGTATATTAAAAACAACAAAATTCGAACAAAGAATATTTTTGACAGTTGTAAATATATAATTTGTTTCTGTATTGTAATTATCGTTAAGGGACTCCGATCCTAAGCCAGGAAGGACAACTCTTTATTGTATTATTTAATTCAAAAAGTCTCAAAATGAAGATTGAAAATTAGATCTTTTAATGCAACAATTTTCATTATATACCTCTCAATGTGCTTCAAGGTTCTTTGAAGTTCTCAGAAAGGTCTAGTTAATAGTCAAAATTTTTACCCAATAAAAGCATTTTAAAATTTCATATACATGTATCAAGAAATCAAAGAAATTTAAGTACATTATATGTATAAAAATTATGGAATTTCTTAAAAAGCCTGGATGCCTATGATTTTTTTTTATTCTTAAAATGTGTTTATTGATCAAATATGAATTGGAAAAAGCAGAGCAGGTGTTTTTATTCGCAGTTCTTGAAAATATATTCGAGGTTTACCAATTTTCTTTATGTGATATGCTTAATTTAGTAGATAAAGTTTGAAAAATTATTATGGGTAAAAACGCTTTACTTTGAAAATTCAGAGACATTTTTGTGAGCATTTTCAATTATTCAATGCTTGATTTTCAGAACCAGCGGACCGGAGTACCTTCAATAGTGTTTGTTGAAAATAATAGAAGAATAGAATAAAACTATAGTTATTCTTTTCAAATATTGAAAAGATTAATCAAATAACCCTTACAATATCGTAGTGAATAATTATACCTGTAGATACGCATCTTGTCTTTGACCAGTCAGGCGAACAAAATTCCGTTCTATTACAAGGCGTGCCTACATAGAATTAACCTGTATTATTTGACAATTAATTGGAGGTAATTCTTCTTCTAATAATTTCAATTTACATCTTTATGTAGTCTCAATATCTATTCACAGAAAGTTTGATTGACAAGAAATTAAATTTTGATGTCTAATGCACAACATTTTTTCTCTGCATGGGATGGAGAGCAAAGAACTTTACATGAAAGAAAGCGTCAGGATTTGATCATTTACTTAATTATTAAAATACTTGCCTGTAATGTCAATAACTTTAACGATGACTTCCACAACGTCACTTTCTTGATTACTTTGCCCGTCACCCCATTCTCTACCCACGTAAACCAAATGTCCATTTGTATTTGTCGGGGATGGTCTCCAGAGCATAACTTCTGTCTCATTGTATCCGTATATTATAGCTCCATATGGGTCATTGGAGGTATCAATCATGGCGCTACCGCCAGCATGAAACATGTATCCCTCGTTGCTTGGAGATAATACTTTCATCTGATGGAATTAAAGGGGAAAGAAGTGTATAAAAACATGGAAAAGGGTATATGAGATGTCATTTTAATTGTATTCTTTTTATCTGTACTGACAATTTCAACTCATGAAGTTTTTTTAAAGATAAAATAAATACCCAGATGCGATTTTTTAAAATCATAATTATTTAATTATTTGCTTGACAATAAATGGATTTATTCGTATTCTTTAAGAAACTCCAAAATCTTTGTCATTTTGATGAAAAAATGCAATATATATCTTTTTTTAATCATATAAAAAACTCAACATATTTGAGAAAGAGTTTTAAAACGCCACCTAAAACCTATGTTAAATGTTAAAACCACCGTAACGAATAAGACTTGCTTAACGTTGGACTATTTTTTGACGCGTTACAATTCATACTTACATGAACTGAAACTAATGTGGAATCAAGATTATACACCGAATCAAGGTTCACTCGGTCGACAGTGTTTGTGTCGCTCTTATCCACTGTGAAGTGTGTTGAGAAATGCTTATTACAAGATTCCAGTATCCAGGCCTGGATATACAGGCTAGCAGTTTCGCCTCTAAAGCTTTCTGCTCCCCAGCCATCTTCTGCACAAGCCACATAATCTGGAGAATGTAAAATCTACACTACCCCAGAATGCTTCAATAAAAGTTTCAGCTTTTCAAGGCCAGTGTTTCTTAAGGAGAAGACATTTTTTTATATATTTCAATGTAAACTTGGATTCCCTATTATGACCCCTTGCTTCCCAGAGGTCACTAAATGAATAATTTAGAATCTACACTACCCAAGAAACATAAGTTTCAGCATTTCTAGTCAAGTGGCTCTTTCAAAGATTTTTTCCGGTACATTTCAATGTTAAACTTAGAATACTTATTGTTGCCCGGCCCTACCCCTGGGGGTCATGATTTGAACAATTTAGAATCTATAGTACCGACCACACACAACCTGACACCAAAACAGTCCCAGAAAGCAGTTCTCTGGGACTTCTGTGGGACCCATATGGGACAGATCTAGAAAGCAATCTTTTAGTAAGTAAATATTAGTCAGGAGAAGATTTTATCCCTAAGAAATAAACTACAGGTTTATGATAAAAAAATATCTTCGTGTAGCCTATTCCATTATTTAATGTAAATTTATGTACTGAAAATCTGCATTGGCACAATATAAAAAAGAATCATTACAGTTAGATATTTTTTTTTTATTAAAAAATGCTTCACATTTTACAAGTACCACGCTAAAAAATTGTATTCCATTCAACCCTCAACTAAAAGAATTTATTGAATGACCATGAAATAAAATTAATATACTACAATTCTTCCGTAACATAAATAATGTGAACAATCATTGAGGAATTTATCAATGAATTAGTTTTAATTTTATAAACAAGATACGAGGGTTGTCCCAAAAAGTCGTAGACAGGGAACATAGTTTATTTCCACTTTGCTAAATCAATTTTTTATATTATCATAACAAAGAGTAACATTTTATGATCATGTATTTCAAGTTTCATGACGATTCCACATTTAATAAGAAAACTATGAAAAAATAAAGAAACCACGTAAGTGTACATCGGCGCACGATAGCAAGCGTAATTTACGTCTCTCATAACGTGAAGGTCCTTTTTTCTGCTTCACATAAGGCTATTAACATCCAAATGAATATTTTTGTATAGTGAAAATCCACAATTGACCAAGGAAATAATTTAAATTCAATGTTGTTCGTTTTCTTAAGCAGATTCATATTTCAGTCAAAATTAAATTAGTTGAAAGATCGCCTTACATTTTAGGCAGCAGAGAATACATTTCCAAGCGCCGGGTATGCGTTCGACGACGTCATTTTCATCAAACTCAATTCGAACACCACTTTGAAAATCATGCCACCAGTCGTCTGTTTCTAATGTTATTTACATGAAAATTTGACATATTATTAAGATTTTGATTCTATTTTCAGTGATTTAAATTTTAGATTAATTTTTTTACATAGTACCAAAGAAATAAAAACAAATGTAATAGTTATATGCCTCAATTATTCCGAATTTTGGTCGTGCGCCGACAGACCATATCGGCCTTCATATAAATCATCCCAATATAATTAATATGAAAGATATTTATTAAAGAATTCGCAATTTTAAAGAACATTGAATGTATTAGGGTGAGTTCACCATGCATCGGACACATACCTTGCTTCGGACAACTTTAGACAATGAATTCTCTTTCAACTTAAGAGTTCCGTGTATTTATTTGTTTCTGTCTAGAAGCTGAAGATTTAAATTTTCTAATGATACCGATTGTTATTATCATATTGTGATAAAAATGCCCCGAGAATGGCCTTGAAGTTACGTCATATTTTACATCATCAAAGGGGAATAACCAGAAATTTATGATTTTGCGATTTTTAGAGTTATCGTTCTTAAAATTCGACTTCAACGGAACGAGTCAGACTTTGGTAAATAAAGTCAAAGATTGGTAATTTTACATAAATTTTAAAGAGATTTCATTTCAATGTTCGTATAATTCTGTTTAGAGCAGGTTTTCACTAGTATGTTCATTTCTCCGTACATCAGACACAAATTAACCATGCATCGGACACTTTCCGATGCAATGGTAAGCACTACCATTTTCATACAGAACCCAGCTGACAGCTGTTTTTTGCGGAAAAGGAAAATAAAAACTCTATATGTTCAGTCAAAATACAAGTTATCGATATATGACGTCTGGAATTTGACTCAATTTATTTCTACAAACCAGAGTATGATAAACCATGAAAAAAGGGCGCGAATTACCGCAATATAATCATTTTTAAGCATTTCTAAGGCAGACTGATGTCTCTCGAATCGTTCTACATTTGTGCAACGATATCATCAATTAAATTTAAGTTGAGGGTTATTTCTTAGATAAAAGATAAAAATATATCGATATCAAGCATTTTAAAGCACTTTGATAAAGGTATTATATCTTTCTGGTCAAAATACCGTCTGTCCGATGCATGGTAAACAATGTCCGATCCATGGTGAAATTTGAGTTATCACTAAAAACTGGATTTTTGGGGAACATTTTCTCAATAAAGGGCATATAATTGTGTCCCAAATTGATATTTTAATCACAAACTAAATGTTAAACTCCATTTTGATAATTTTCCGTCGGTAGCGATATCGCTAGCACTTGTTGAAGTACAAGGGTATCCGATGCATGGTGAATTCACCCTATGTCTATGCAAAATTTGGTTAGTATTGGTTGTGTGTTAAAAAAGTTATTAACATTGTCTACGACTTTTTGGGACAACCCTCGTATTTAAAAAGTACACTAATTTTACAAATAAACAGTTGAAATACCTGGAATTGTGATTTATTGTGGTATATAAAACGAAAATTTTGTTATGATTATGATTGCTTGATCTATCCTAGTAAATCAGTTATATAAAAAATATGTTTAAGACATGTGTAAAATTACTTATCAAAACGGACTTGTTCAATACATCTAGCCAAGATGCCGTCCGTGTATAAAAATACATTTGAATACATATTCTTGAACATTTAGAATAATGTACTCTGAGGAGTAAATTAAACAGAAAAAGAGAAACCATATTTAATTAAAAATCCTTTTCTTTATACTTTTACGCAAAGAATTTTAAAAGCTTCTCTCAGTCTTGAAAACTTGTAACTATTTCATTGTGACGCAGTATTTGTCAGGTATATGACGTCACTGATACATCAATGGACACGTAGATTCAACCTGAATAATGGAACCAATTTTTATGTAAATATTACGTTTGAAGGCAAAAATGAGTTCTGTTTTTAAATAAAGTAGTTATTATTTTTTTACATTAAATTTCTTTAGTGTATCGATTCTAAATATTTCACTAGGATTCCGATAAAAAGGTGTTTAGCAGATTTACCGATGCCACGGGAGATAACTTATGCATTGCTAAATTTCATAAAAACGTCCATATATTTTGCCGGAAAACTACAATCAAAAGTGCTTTTCCCACCGATTTTATTTTTTAAACAAAAAGATTAAATATTTCTAGATTCAGTTTGGTGTAAATTATATTCCTGTTAAAAAATGTATTAGAAATTACAGTTCTTTGTTTCTCACCTACATTCAATGGTTTATATAAGGGAATTCAAAAACACACAACACAAGGGTATTTTACTAAATAAGTAATTTTCCAACAAATCTTCAATTGCATTATTCCTTTTGGACTACATTGATATTGTTTTAGATAAAATATCAAATATTCCTCACATTCGATACTGCCTGGTTTTTCAGTGGACTGCCTCTATAAACCTTTGTTTGAGAATTGTGCTGATTTTACTGGATATTTAGTGTATTAGTTAATGATTTATTGTTCATCTTTAAGTTCTCTTTTTCTTAAATTCCTTATGGACAACCAGTAACTAAGTGCATTTTCCACAGCCCATGTCATTAATATACCCGTTTAAGATATTGGAAAATTTCACCACATTCCAATTACCAATAAGGTCACTCGAGCTTTCTGAAAATGATAGTTGTGAAACCCGGGGGAGACTTATAGAAGCATTTCAGCCTAATGTCCGATTCGAATACGTAATTCTACATATTTCTACCCTTTTCTCTATTTTTCAGTGTAATTCATACATGTAGGTGTGAAAGCCTTCTTCCTTCAATAAATATATTTCAAATTGTTTCTATGCGCCTACTGTTCATAAATGACCTTCGTATACATGTAAGGATTCCTGGCATACTACTCGGAATCAATTTCTGCCTTTTATTGTCTCGTTGTTTATTGGAAATTTCATTTCTGAGTTAGCTCCGCCATTTACATTAATAAACCACGCCTATTGGGACTGCTCTCTGGGACTGCTGGGACTGCTGGGACTGTTCTCTAAGACCGCTGGGACTGCTTTCCGTGGCTAATGGGACTGCTCTCTAGGACCTCTTGGACAGCTGGGAGCTCTCTGGGACCGCTGTGGGACTGCTATAGCAGTCCCCGGGACCGCTCTGGAACTGCTTTGTGTCAGTTTGGGTCTGGTCGGTACTGTACACTACCAAGCGATGCATCAACATAAGTTTCAGCTTGTGTGGCCCAGTGGTTCACGAGAAGAAGATTTGAAAGTTTTTTTTTTATACATTTCAATGTAAATCTTGGATTCCTTATTGTGACCCTGACCTACTCCCGAGGATCATGATTTGAACAATTTAGAATTTACACTACCCAAAGATGTTTCAATATAAGTTTCAGCTTTTTTGATCAAATGATTCTTGAGATGAAGATTTTTAAAAGCGTTTTACCTAAATATTGCAGTATAAAAATTAGATTCCCTATCGTGGCTCCGCCCTTCCCCCGGGGGTCATGATTTTGATAATTTAGAATTAACACTACGTTAAGATGTTTGTACCTAGTTTGATAAATATTGGCCCATTGGTTCTTGAAAAGAAGTTGAAACTGTGAAAACTGTACGGACAGACAACGGATGATCAGAAAAGCTCACTTGTGCTTTCCCCTCAGGTGAGCTAAAAAAAATTAATAACTCGAAACACGTAACAAACTTAAAAAAAATTAATAAAATGTATGATCAATAATTTTTCATTTTTTATCAAATCTAATAGTTATTGTAATAGAGTGATAACAATGCTCACAAAAACTTACCTGACATAGACCAAAGACGAATTTCTTGTTCATTAAATGCAAAAACAGTCCCACAGACAGTTTCATATTTACCAATTATTTCTGAATTGAATGTCACACCTACAATAAAATATGCCATAACTATTCTTAAATGAATCGTTTGGTTCTAAAATGTAAAATACAAAAAAATTACGAACTGAGAAAAATTAGGCGTGGAATTATTTCATTCGTCTGAGTTCATTGATCGTGGTTAAACAAAATTTCGTTGGTTCTTTGAAACTTAAAAAAAAGTTTGTTGGTAGGTTCATGTATATATAGAAGGTTTTCAAGTAAATAAATATGTAGACAAAATAGTAGTTCATGGGGGATGTAAAATTGTGGTTTAAAGTGGACCATGAAATCGACGATAATTTGGCCTCCATGTACATCGATGATTCTACGGAAAGTATGAAGTTACAATTTGGCCAGACTCACCTGTTGCCTCGGACACATAGCCATTGGTCATCTTTAACTGAACAACAACAAAATCGGGGTTTCTACCAAGTCCGTGAGTTATAGTTTTATAACTGTCCCCTGGTTAAAAAAAGAATTTCGTTTGTTGAAGTCTTGATTTTTAACATTCCAATTGATGATTATAACAGAAATCAGAAACGTGTAAAAAAAAATTTGACCCAAAAATACTTGTATTAAATCATATAAAACTTTACCAAAAAGTAATAATCATTTAAAATTCAGAGTAATAATGGTTTCGAGAAATATGAGAGATTCTATCAGAATCTTGGGATATATTTTCTTCCCTGTAGATTGTGCACAACCAGCTTAGATCCTTTGCTTTGGGATCTGAGAAGCGCCGAGCAACGAGCGAAATTCAAAAATGTCTTATTTTATACATGTAGATATGCATAATATATTCTTAATGTTTAAAAAGAAATATAGATAATTTTTTTAACTTATTTCCGAATAAGTATTGTTTCAACTTCGTATAAATGCTTATATTAAATTCATAAAAAATCAAACGTAATTTATGTCTTAGCATAAGCTTATATAATGTTCAGGAGAATACTAATATGTGAATAAGATATAGATATATATATATATATATATATATATATATATATATATATATATAGAAAGCACAGAGAAATCCACTTTTACAAGGATACTCACTTCCGCCCCAGCCCGGGGTTGAACTCTCGACCTACGGAATCTGTCTCCTAGCAGTATAGGAACAGCGCGTTAGACCGCTCGGCTATCTAGGCAAGTTAAAAAACTTGTTTTCGATGCCGATGGAATTCTCACAACGCTGTCCTACACTACACGGTCATTGAGAATGGAAGTGAGATACAGTTATTTGGACATTAGTTTTTAGAGGATTGTTACCAATACATGTTGCGATGAAATTAATTTTTATTTATAAAGCACAAATTACAACAACTCTTAAGCTAATATAACTGCCCTAAGTGAAGGAATATTAATATAGAAAGCACAGAGAAATTCACTTTTACAAGGATACTCACTTCCGCCCCTGCCCGGGGTTGAACTCTCGACCTACGGAATCTGTCTCCTAGCAGTATAGGAACAGCGCGTTAGACCGCTCGGCTATCTAGGCAAGTTAAAAAACTTGCTTTCGATGCCGATGGAATTCTCACAACGTTGTCCTACACTACACGGTCATTGAGAATGGAAGTGAGATACAGTTATTTGGACATTAGTTTTTAGAGGATTGTTACCAATACATGTTGTGATGAAATTAATTTTTATTTATAAAGCACAAATTACAACAACTCTTAAACTAATGTATTGGTAACAATCCTCTAAAAACTAATGTCCAAATAACTGTATCTCACTTCCATTCTCAATGACCGTGTAGTGTAGGACAGCGTTGTGAGAATTCCATCGGCATCGAAAGCAAGTTTTTTAACTTGCCTAGATAGCCGAGCGGTCTAACGCGCTGTTCCTATACTGCTAGGAGACAGATTCCGTAGGTCGAGAGTTCAACCCCGGGCTGGGGCGGAAGTGAGTATCCTTGTAAAAGTGAATTTCTCTGTGCTTTCTATATTAATATTCCTTCACGTAGGGCAGTTATATTAGTTTAAGAGTTGTTGTAATTTGTGCTTTATATATATATATATATATATATATATATATATATATATATTATATATATATTATAATCTGTGGACAGTTGTTTTTGATTGGAAAACATAAGCAGATACATACATACATACATACATACATATATATATATATATATATATATATATATATATATATATATATATATATATATATATATATATATATATATATATATATATATATATATATATATATATATAATTATAAAAGAAAAAGAAAATGAAGTTTCCAAATTTCATTTAACACAAGCGCTTTCTGGATCTCATAATCCGTCTTCAGGTGTACATAAATGGAAGTTCAATTTATGTACACCTGAAGACGGATTATGAGATCCAGAAAGCGCTTGTGTTAAATGAAATTTGGAAACTTCATTTTCTTTTTCTTTTATAATTATTTTCACCTGTGTGACATCGACTGTGAACTATTTTCAACTATATATATATATATATATATATATATATATATATATATATATATATATAAAATCCAAATTCAAATGATAAACTCAAACTTTTATCTAAAGCGCTTTCGCCCCATGCGGGCTCATCAGTAGATTTGAAATTTAAAATCTACTGATGAGCCCGCATGGGGCGAAAGCGCTTTAGATAAAAGTTTGACTTTATCATTTGAATTTGGATTTTATTTTATCCCTATACCAAGGAAAAATAATTTTTTGTATATATATATATATATATATATATATATATATATATATATATATATATATATATATATATACATGTATGTATGTATCTGCTTATGTTTTCCAATCAAAAACAACTGTCCACAGATTATAATGTGCAACGCAATGAAAGATTGTATCAATGAAATATTTAGTTACAGAAATCTACCTAATAAATTAAGATATAACTTAGAAATGTTTCATTTTGTTAAAGGTTTTAAATATCAAAAAAGTTGAGCGTATTCGTTTATCTATGGCCAGCTAGAGTATCAGAATACAGAAATACAGAACGAGAGTTAATGGAAAAATGATAAACTTTTTATTTTTTCTTTTCATGTAACTTATAATTAATAGTAATGATGACAGAGTCGATGCGATGTTTTCTTTTTAAGATTCAATTAAATAAAAAAAATATTGCTAATCCTTGGCCTTTTCTTACACAACAAAAACTAAAAAAAGATTCTTTATTTTGAAATACTCCGTATTGCCTTGCAATTGTTACAATTGATAGTTTTCATGATTTTTAGGCAGTGTTCTGTTTCGTAATTTCATCTTATCTAGCTTTGAAATACAAAGATCAATATGCGTCTGCAAATGCACCCTTTCGAATGATAAAAACACATTCAAAATGCTCAAAGAAAGTATGGATGATGACTTTAATTGAGTTCTGTTGTATGTATTTCTGATCGCGATTTCTTCAAATAAATGTGTTCATATATTATGCATATGAAAGGTATATTCTGCATCTTTCATGTCTTAAATGACATTCATGCGTACGGGTTTAATACATTTCTCTGGAGCATTTAACGCTTATTTGATAAATTCATCGTTTATTCTTTCCGTGGAAAATTTATGAGATCGATCTTTTTGAGTTTGTTTTTGTTTGAATAATCAATGAATCGGGTCTCATTATAAAGATTTTTATATCATATAGTTATCCTTTAAGGTAGAACCTAAGTCTTTGTCACGAGATTTTCAAACTTCTCAAAATGATAAATTAGCACTTGCTTATCAATCAGTTAAAAACACATGACATGTTTCCTTGTTATTAAATGTAGTACAGCCTGTGAAACTTAAAATGGTAATTATATACTGCGACTTCACATTGTCTGTCATTTTTAGGGGTACTTGTCATAAAGAGAATATGAAAAATTAAAAAAATTCTTCTTTAAACATCGTCGTTTATAGAATTTATTGACTGAGCAGTATTAAGCAATATTTCTCAATAATAAATTCTTTTTTATTCAATTGACATAAAAGATATGTCTACGTTGAATAAAATGAAGGCAAATGAAGTCTGTTTTTATTAATCAATTCTCCACACTATTTGTAAATATTTTGCAGACGTCTTTGTCAGAAAGTTTTCAATCTTTAATATGATGAACATATCCAAATGAAAAATGATTAAAATATTTACCTTTCAACACAAACTAACGAGAGATAGGTTATTTACCAATTCTTCTTTTCTTGACCTTTTAGCTCTTACACAGGGTTTAATTATTAATTAACTGTTTTGGGGAAACTTTCAGATTTACGATGCGAAAAATTATCAAAAAATTGTAATTTTCTATTTAAAAAATAGAAAAATTGTAAACAAACACCAATCATTCAAAATATACACGAATAATTCCTATCCAGTTATGAAAAAGAATGCACATCATTTCATGATAGACATCACAACATTTACATACAATCTACGACACATTTTTGACTAAAATACATTTCATCAAGAAAATATTCTATTTAGATATCAACTAAAGATTTCATAAGATTTTTGCATTCCCTCAAAATAGTTGCATTCTCTTCACATTATCACAATAAGTTGTGTAATTTCAATACATGACTCATGAGATAGTTTTGGATTTGTTCATTTAAAGTTAATGTCTAGTAAATAAAAGGCGCCTTCAAGTTTCTCCAATTTAAAAAATTGTATTAAGTCATTTAGCTTTAGGAACAAAAATATATGAATTGAATAAAGGTACATATTAAGAATATTTTGGCATGATTTAAAATTGTATTCCATGAATTTCTAATTGCTTTATTTCTACAATTTTTATTGAAGCTGTAAAGTACGGGAAAAATCACATTATATTAATTATGACGTCATAATGGATCTTGCACACACACTTACCACATGATGTCATACGACGTAGGTTCCACGTTAAGAAAATATTCTTTATCATACATGTTTATTTGGAGCTTTTTTAAGTCTTATTTAGTTTCATGAAATTTATTTTTTGACTTTCCATTTGTTTTCTCTATGCTTTTGCAAATAAAAAAAAAATATTTGTTGAC